CTCCAAACAGTAAAAGACTGTCTCTCCAAACAGTAAAAGACTGTCTCTCCAAACAAAAGACTGTCTCTCCAAACAGTAAAAGACTGTCTCTCCAAATAGTAAAAGACTGTCTCTCCAAACAGTAAAACACTGTCTCTCGAAATAGTAAAAGACTGTCTGGCGATACAGTAAAACACTGTCTGGCGCCCGAGACAGCAAACACTTGTTTCTTATGTTCTTTTGATCTTTGGATGATCTCCTTTTAAGCTGTATTTGGATATCCATCAGCATTTTTTGACGCCTACACTCCACATCCCCATCTTCAAGAACATCCCGGACGAAGTGATATTGAACATCGATGTGCTTCGTCCTCGCATGAAAAACTTACTTAATTCTTCGCCAAATAGATAGCACTCATACTATCACAATGAATGGTGACAGATCGCTGCGAAACACCAAGATCCTCCAAAAGTCCTCGAAGTTAAATTGTCTCCTTAACAGCCTCTGTAATCACCATATACCATGTCTCTGTCATCGACAAAGCAACTGTAGACTGCAAGGTGTATCTGCAACACACCAGCACACGGGTCAAAGTGAACACATACCCCGTCGCCGACCGTCGCTTGTCCAAATCTTTAGCATAGTCTGAATCGACGTATCCAATGCACAATTGCCCACCACTAGTGTCCCGCTCAAACATCAAACCAACGTCGAGAATACCTCGAATGTACCTCAAAATCCACCTCACGGCATCCCAATGACCCGGACTCGGGTCATGCATGTATCGTGAAACCATGCTAACTGCCTGTCATAGATCCGGCCTCGTACATACCATTACGTACGTACATTAAACTTCCCACTGTGCTTGCATAAGGAGTCTTCGACATCAACTCTCTATCTTCAACTGACTTCGGTGAGAGATCAGCTGAAAGCTTCAAATGAGCTCCCAAAGGTACACTGACTGGTTTCGTCCCAAAGGTACACTGACTTGGTCAATGGGCGTTTTACCCTTAAAAATAAAGAATCTGTTCTCTAGATATATATATCGCCACTCTTTTGGCCCATATTTTTGATGACTTTTTTAAGGGGGTTCATTGCGAAAAGACCCACTACAATACTCTTCAACTGCGGATACACGCCCGCCCCTGTAGCTCTGTTTATCCTAATAGACCTCCTTTAATATTGACCCAAAGTGCAGATAGACCTCTTTCGTGGGAGTTTAAAAATTAAGAATACAAATATTCACTCCAGGTCCACTCGGATAAATAGTTTATTCACAGCTGGGCAACATCAGAAGGAAAATGCTAGAGGCACAACCTCTAACCACACCTCCAACCATACTCCTCTTTCGCTACAGTGCACTGGGGCCACATGAGAATTTTTTAAAATTCTCATGTGAGCCCTAGTATACTGTAGCTAGAGAGGAGTGTGGTTAGAGATGTAATTAGCGTGTGACTGTAACGCTTCCCATGTCAGAAGTTTATTCAGGGGCTGTTTGGTTGCCTCTTTTAGAGGCTGAATCCCTGCCAAAACTGACAAAAGCTGTCAGTTTTGACAGGGAATCTTACAAAAACGTCTTTTTTAGAGGCATTTTTGGGTGATTTCCTGTCAAAACTGACAGTTTTTGTCAGTTTTAGCAGGGATTCAACCTCTAAAAGAGGCAACCAAACAGCCCCTCACAATCAAACATTTTCAATTGAGTCGTTTTGAAAAGTATTTATTATCATTATTAAGGACGGCTGAGCACTGACGTGGCCTGCTACAATCCTTCCAAAAAATCATCGCCGCCAACATCACCCGTATGATGACATACTGCCAATGAATTTGGAAAAAGAAAAAAGAAAACAAAAGAAAGAAACTCTCCACTCAAAAAGGGTTTGAAAAGAATTCAGGTTGGAGGTGAGACTGATAGACGAGAGATGGGCCCCACGCGAGCTTTGTAGTAGCGTGGATTCCTCAAATACCGCGAACAGGACAACAAACAGGTCGGATCCACTGACCTCAGGTGAGAATAAGGAGAAAAGAAAAAGGGTTTTAAAGATATTAGTCTCTTACGTCTACGCTAATTTGAAATTAGTCCCTCCAATCTTAGTATTCTCTGATATTGGTCCCTCAAATTGCCTTAAGCTGTTGATAGTAGTATTTTTGCTAGGTTTTATGTCTAAAAATCTAAACTATGATTGGGTTAACACTAACCATAAATTGTAAGTTACCAAAATACCATCAGTGTAAGTCACCCCACTAAAGGACACTCACTCTATCTCCATTGTGAAAATGTATACGCATGACAATGGATTAGGGTTTAAAGGTTTAGGATTTGTAGTAAATTTGATTAGGGTTTAAAGATTTGGGGTTTGTGAAAATGTGGATTCCTAGTTTCTGTCATTGCATGATTTGATTAGAGTTTAAAGATTTAAAATTTAGAGCAAATTTGGAATTAGGATTTAATTATCTAATGATGAATTTTAATTTGATTAGAGTTTAATTATGAAGTGATGAATTTTAATTTGGTGAGTGGCATAATTGCCCCATAAATGCAACGGTTATAGATGATAGAATATTCCCCTATAGTTTAATAGCCGCTAACTTGAGGGACTAATATCAACAACTTAAGGTAATTTGAGGGACTAATATCAAAATACACAGATTTGAGGACTGATATCGAAATAGCTCAAATTTAAGGAACTAATATCTAAAAAGCCCAAAGAAAAAAGACTACATGAAAGAAAATGATCTTTGCCAAAGGGAAATTCACCCCCTAATTGTTAACCAAAGGGACGGTTTGGCAAGAAAATTAAATATTTGAGTGAGTTTCTAGCAAATACTAAAAATCTAAGGAGCGTTTTGACAATCAAAAATGATTTAAGGGACTAACACGCAATTACCCCTATCTACAATAATTTTTCTGCTTCTTGTTTTGTTAGTTCAATTGCGATGATAATTTGGTAGACGGTAATCTTATCTCAACAGGAGCATCGAGAGTAAACGCACCGCGTGTTCCTTGTCGCGCTCCAAGCGCTCCTCCAACCAAAAGAAAGCTCATCAGCATCCGTAAAAGGAGGAATCACGGTCGCCTCGCTATGGTGAGCAAATTTCAGAAAAGTACCCTAGCTATTTTATAATTGCTGCAGACGGGGGGCTTTATATTTATAAATCAATTATTTTTTTATGTGAATTTTTTTTAACTGAAGCACGCTTGTGAAAAACAAATTTATGACTAAATTAATTTCATTCAAGAGAAAGTTTGGTCTTTTTAACTTTGCAGTTCTAACTATATAAAACCTGTAGGACTGTACAATTTTTAAATAGCAAACCTGTGCATGTTTAACGTGAGTAAAACTTATATCATATGAAATTACAGTTAACAAATTTGTCAAGATAAAGCTAATAGAAGTTTCAACATATATTGAATTCTCTTCTCTCTCTCTCTCTCTCTAATATATGTATATATAATATATATATAGTATATATAATATATATATATATAATATATAATTTATATTAGAGAGAGAGCGAGAGAGAGAGAGAGAGAAATGGAGAAACTAGTACCAAGTTCGTTAACAAATTGGTAGTGAGTGGCCTAGATTTGGCTAATAATCTCGAAGATTAGCTCAAAATCATTCATACTCAACGTAGATGTAGGGACAGAGATTAGGCGCATATATACAAGTTTTCATTTTTTCATATAGATATATATATAATATATATATATATATATATTATTATATCGAGGAATATGGGGTATACTTGGCCAGGATTTGTATTGGATGTGGAAATCTTGTCCACATAACACATTAAGTGGTGAGCTCCATCTTCAAGTGTGATGTATGGACAAGATGTTGAAATCCCTACAAGGATTCCTTGTACAGTATACATTTTCTTCAATAATATTATACTTATATATATAGTATATATATATATATCTTATGTATATTATATTATATTATAATATTGGTTTGATGATATGATTAGAATTTACAATGGTACACATGAATTGTAAAGATGCATCTAAATTTTAGTAATAAGATTAGTCTCAGCCAAAAAGGTTCTTCTCAATTGGCAGTTTAATTGCAACAACGCAAGTAATTTTCCCTGCTTTTGTTGCTAGATTGCATTTGCATCGGCAGTGTGCATAGAGTCTGTAACGGGAAAGCTGGGGACTCGTTGTTCGTGGTGTTGGTGCACGCGCTGGCGACATTCGCTAGGTTCACACAGCGCACGGCGAGAGGACCAGAAGTTAGGGCCAGATTATTCGCCTGGTTCACCAGCGCAAGGACCAGAATTGGCCAGATTTTCACCCTCAGCTGCAACCAGTTTGTTGACTCCCTGATCGACAACCTCATCGATGGACTGTTCTTTGACAGCGAGTTAAGTGATTGGTCCGATGACATATAGAAATTTTATGAAACCATATACTAATATATGCATACATATAGACACAAAATAGAGTAGAGATATGTGAAGGTTAGATGGTGGACGGATGGTGTTGTATAGTGATTGCAGCAAGTGTGACTTTTCTTCGGTAGCTGCTGCAGAGGATATTGAGATGTTTAGATGGGGGTGTACTTACAAATGACGAAAAGCTTTATAGTGAGCTTTTGTATGTTTGTTTATGTCTACATCCGTAATGAAGATATTTTATCCATGATAGGTTGCCTCTTATCGGGACATGGATGGATAAATCTTATGTTTCTGAGTTGAGGAAGAAGTGTCCACTGTACGCCAACGATAACAAAGGTTTCCATCCATGCTGGTATCATTCCACCTGTAGTTTTAATTGTTTAGAATACGCATATTATACATACACTTGTTCGGATACTCGGATTTAAGCATAATTGATGTTGAATAGTTTGGGTTCCCTAGTTCTTTGACGATTGGAACAGCCTTATAGCATCAGCTTAAACTTTTATGGTACAGGAATTTGAAAGGAAAAGGCAATATAAGCTATGCACTGCTTAGACAGAATCAAATAATTCATACACTGAGAAAAGTAAAGATTTAAGAAAATAGGCCTCAAGAAATAGTTCGGGGACAGTGAGGAGAAAGCATGCCTCACCAATATATATAAACGATTTCGTATCTTTACAAGTATAAGTATCATTTGAACTATGCCAGGCAATTTTATGCATGACCGTTGAGTTTGTCCAGTATCAGACCCAAAAAAGAGACCATTTGAGTTTGGTGAACGTGTATCAAATGCTCATTAAGAGGCACTCTCTATTGCTTTGATGCACTCTAATACACTAGCTTTCTTCGACATTGCAGCCATAAGTGCTTCATGAGTTGTTGCATTGGTCTTCAAAAGTGATGCACCAAACAACACCTGCAAGTGATTTTATTATAAGCCTCAGGTTGTAATAAAAACAACATAAAAGAACTAAGGACTCACTGCCCATCTTGTGAGGTTTTGCTGCTGTTCTTTGCCGATTGGTGGTTTGCTCCTATTTATAAATCTCTATAGCAGAAAGACAAAGGAATATATATGAAAAGTTATGGGCTTCATACTGTTTCATAAAGAGGAAGACCAAGTGATGAATTAACCAAGAAAACCTGTAGTTTTATGAGAATACCTGAAGGCTGAAAAGATCTGCAGACTGGCCAACAACCTTGTCATACTTGAGACCTTCTGCTGCCAGTCCAGCCATTGACACAACAGCCAATCTAATAATTATTTCATAATATTGTCATAATTAACATTTGGATTTGTATTATATGAATTGAAACAATTTTCTATGCAAATTTGCATCAAGACCCTGATGACGATAATGTTCGTAGTTTTCAACATATAGAGAACTATAAGACGTGAAAGTCAATTCAGAGAAAGTTAACCATACAGAGAAAGTTACCATATCATTAGCTGGCATGGTCATTTCAACATAAATTGCAATACCCAAAAAAAAAAACTCTTGTTTTACGAATTATATATAAATTTTAAAATGGGTGGATGGGCTGGGCCAAGAAAAGTTTGTAATGAAGTAGAAAGACTAGGAATCAAATTCGTTTAATCCGTGATTTCGGGCATTAAGGAAGTGATTGTTTCATATCAGAAACTTATATATTTGCCAGCAGTATAAACCTTGTACCTGTCCAGTTCTTTAGCATCAAGCTGCCCACTGTATATCAGCTTCTGTAGCCTATCATCAATTAAGTTGACATGCTCCTTTCCGATGTCCAGGGAATATCCCAAGATTGGTAGTCCAGTCAAGTAAGCAACTGTCAGAAAATAAGAAGTTATTTTCATGAGTTGGCAAATGCAATCATCAGTCAAAGAAGAATGCACTCAGATGATGAGCGAGAGAGGCCCCAATTTTAAGTTGCAGGTAAAAAGGTGAAATTGATCGCTAAGTATGGTAGGATGCAACAATTAAGCATTCTACGCAGGATGTTGACATGCTCTCCTTGTAGAGCAATTTGAATCATTCCAACCCCAGACTGAAGGTTTATATCAAGAGAGAAAACAGACACAGCACAATTACAGATTTACGATGTGATCTGCAGGGCTCTGGTACCATTTTAGAAAATTTACCACCCTTGAAGTTCCATCTATGAGCCAATTTGATCCAACCTAATCTATTCAGCGTGCACAATGCATTTCCCATACAAGTACTACAAGAAGTAGGCAGGGTTTTGTGTAAGAACTCATGGAGAGAAATGCATATAAAAAAAGTATATGCTAATCACCCGCATGCACCATAGGCATGCAAACGGAAAACACACACGATAGAAACATGAATTACTTTGAGATACAAATATTGTCTAAATTCGTGGATATGCGTAGAGCAGATCAAGTAAATAGCATAGAATCTCAAGCTGAAGATACTGCATGGCATGCACATAAATACCTAGAAAATGTGCTGCTTCATGTCTAGCAATCCTCTCTTGGTAATCAGGAAAAAAGGTCGAAAATCCACCTATGGCAGCTTGCAGAAGCCTACAACAACAGAAAAGCAATGTCACAGCTATAACTTGGAGTCTTCACTTTTCAAAACTATAACTTAGATGAATAGTACATTATTAAGTTAGATTAGATTGCATCCAAATATTCACAGGCTAATCTATTTAAATTAGATTCGCTGGTATTCACAACTATGACATAGATGAATAGTACATATCAGTTGAGCACCACAAAAGCCAATATTATACCCAGGAGAAACGCTCCCAACAGCCAACACCACCAAGGAAATACTCCCAACCAAGTAGGGCACGAAAAAACCCCAGTCCTGAAAATTTCATAAATTTCATCACATTTATCAATGGAAAAGATGGCGCACTTCATTTACTTCACAGCACTCGAATAAGTTTACCCCAGGAAGCTGACCAGCAAGCACACCAAGAAACCCTGTTGTTCCCACTACCGTAAAAAGAAAAGCTGCCTGCAGCAAGAGATGAAACCCATCATATACGAGTTCAAAAGTAGTAGACCGCTGACATAGATGCCGTAGCTATGAATTACTCATTTTCAATGTATTGATATATAAACGGCGCGCTATGAAAGTATAAACCTCATATTCACTGAAAGATCTATTTATATAGATATAGAAGCAGTATAATATCCAGAATAGACAAGATAGGAGTCATCTAACACTCATGGAAAATATGTTAACATCAAATTTCGCTCTAACGATGGTTGCTAGACCTAAGACACATTATAGCCAATGTAATAACTTCTAGTCCAGTACAGTAGAAAAATAATTTCCATGCTAGATGCATACTTGTCTGAGGCAAGACGCTAATGGTTAGTAAACACCATGCATGAGGAGGATCTTCAATGTGTCACAGAGCTTACATCATTTCTAACACTTGGTATTGCCAGGTTCTCTGCATTTTTTATTCCAAGAGAGGTCAGCTCCCGTAGAGTTGTCTGCATCAAATTAACAAATTTTTATGTCAACCAAAAAATGAAAATAAAAATCTTATTGTGAAGTAGTTGATCACATCAACCGATATCAGAAAGAAAATTTAGATTAAACGACTGACATAAGCACTTGCCCAGTAACTTCATCTTAATGGAGAACTGACCATACGGCGTGACACATATGGTTGAGAACTCCATTTTTTGGCCCAGCCAATTTCACCCAGCTGGTCAAGCGCACCTTTAACAGCATCACTATCTTTCTGCAAGATATTTAATTAATATATCAATCCATGTTCAGATGCAATCACATTATTATAAGAAAATAGAAACTAGTAATCTTGGTTGAAGCTTTGCACATGTACTTGTTAGTCTAAGTGTGTAGACCCGAAGCTGCAATCGAAAAGACGATGAAAACAGTCAGAAGACTGTGCGGTCGACCGCAGTGCCAGATCCGGTCCGCGTGCATTGCAGGAAACTGAGAAGTTTCTGTCGCTCTGGCCGGTCGACCGGCGTGGCCGCTGCGGTCGACCGCAAATGTGCACAGGACCCTGTAAACACCTTTTTCTCTGGCCGGTCGACCGGCCTTGGCACGGCGGTCGACCGCGAATCGTCCAGACAGTTTCCTAAACTGTTTGGGACTCTGTTTTGTTTCAGGATTCTATATATACTCCAAACGTTTTTAGGGTTTGTAAGACATCAAAAAGAGAGCTTTTTTTACTGTAAAGAGAGAGAGAATCTCAGAGAGATTAACCCCTTGTTTGAGAGCTTGTATTTTCTTCTTCAATTAATAAAGAGATTGTGTGGTGTGGCTCCCGAGGACGTAGGCACGTTGCCGAACCTCATTAAATCTGTGTGTTCATCTCTCTTACTGTTTTTTGCAAGTTAGATCTTTATTTGTGGTTTTATTCCTACTTTCCTACTTTCAACACAAGGTCCGGAAGGGCAAGGGTTCGATTGATTGTTTCGAATCCCCAACAAGACTATCGTCAGCAGTTTCTTTAGAATAACAGAAGAGGATACATCCAGTCTGAGAGTGGCTAAGGACACACTACATTTTAAACATAAATAGGAATAAAAGGTTATTATAATTAACTAATAGTTATGACTGTTAAATATTGCGATGCATATTAACTCAGCCAAGCGTTTTCGTGTTGCATCGGTTCCCTCTTCTCCACCAATCTACATTACTTTGTTGCTTCATGAGATTATCACAGCAGTAAACACCATATTAAGCTAGTTGAATCTATGGAACGGTAATCAGCAACGATAGAGATTATCACGTTACTTTGTTGCTTCATGAGGTTATCACAGCAATAAACCTTAAGACTGCTAAAATTGCAAAAAGAAAAACCTTTGGCGCTTAAATCAACAAACTAGCCATGGTAGATTAATTAAACATTATCATTTACAATTTTTTTTTAAAAAACCCTACATTTCATATATGATTAATTAATTTCCCCAAGGAAGACGAAACACGAAGTGATTCTCCCAGAATCAATAAGAATTCCAAACCTTTAGAGTCTCATCATCTAATTTATAATTATTTCATGAGGCGTCCTTATCATTTCCCATAAATTCCAAATGAATTCCAATCAGGACAAGGGAAAAACCCTAGAATATCTACGTGATTAATATCCCATCCTATATAGTTCTCAACAAGGACAGTACTTTTCAAGAACAACCAAAAATAGAAAGAAAGAATTTTTTTTTAATAAACCCTAAAGTTAGCCAATTCGATGGAAAACTGGAAATGACAGGATTCGACCTTGGCAATGGCAGCCTCGAGCGTGCCGAGATCGACCCCAGGCGCGGCGGAAGAAGCTCCGATCCGCCATTTTCTATTGATGACAGGGCTCCTCCGGTGAGATTTGAGGGGAGAGGGGCTGGGGTTTTGGGGAGTGAGGAGAGAAGGGAGAGAGATCGCCATCGTTAATTCTGAATCGTTCAAAAACCTGGGTGAAGAGATAACGTCTTTGGGCGCGAGATTTGCCCTTCGCGACGTCCAGAACCTAGACGCGCGCTATACACGTGCATATAATCTTGTGCTAAAAAGTTTTTTCTTTTCGTATTATCCCCCTCGTGTTACTTTATTTTGATATCTCTAAATCTTTATATTTATGCGAAAATTGTGTTAAGACTCCAAAAGTAACAACCTCATGTGACCTGGCCCCTCCATTTTTTGCATTATGGTTCAGCCCAAAAAGTGTCACACCATGTGATTCAGCCAATTTTTTCATGTGATTCAGTCATTTACTCTATGCCAAACAAGCACAAAGAGAGAGAAACAAACATAAAAGTCAAATATACCCTCATTTCCTCCTCTCTCTTTCTTCTCTCTAGATCTAAGTCCGCTCCTCCTTCCTCCTCTCCTCTCCTCCTCTCTCCTAACCCATTTCCTTCATCCTCTCTCTCTTTCCCCTTCTTCTCTCAGACACCGACGTCCTCATTTGCCACCGCCGACCTTGGGTGCATGTTCAGGTCATATTTTTCGTTCATTTTCTCCCGCTAATTTTCCTCGATCTCTCTTTCTTTTCCCCCAAAACTAAAAAACCCTAATTTTTCCCGATACTGAAGGCAAAGAGGTAGCAAAGAACAAGACGGAGGAGGCGGTGCTGGATGAGGACGAGGAGGAGCTCGAGGCAGCCGCAAGTTCCACAAAACATCCAAGCTATGGTTCATTTTAAGTCCAATTTAAATCACGTTAAGTCTGATTCAACTTGTTTTAAATCTAAAAATAAGTTGAATTAGACTTAACATGAACCATGTTAAGTCTAATTCAAATTATTTTAAGTCTAATTTCATGTTAAGTCCAATTTGATTCATTTTAAATCCAATTTGATTCATGTTAAGTCTAATTTAATTCTATTTAAGTCTAATTTTAATTATGTTAAATTCTATTTAAGTCTAATTTAAATCATGTTAAGTCTAATTCAACTTATTTTAAGTCTAATTTCTAGTTAAGTGCAATTTGATTCATGTTAAGTCCAATTTGGTTCATGTTAATTAAGTCCAGTTTGGTTCATGTTAAATCCAGTTTGGTTCATGTTAAGTCTAGTTTGATTTGTGTTAAATCTAATTTAATTCATTTTAGGTCTAATTTAATTTATTTTAAGTCCAATTTAAATGTCTAATTCAAATTATTTTAAGTCTAGTTTCATGTTAAGTCCAATTTGATTCATGTTAAGTCTAGTTTAACTTGTTTTTAGACTTAAAAGAAATTGAATTAGATTTAACATGATTTAAATTAGACTTAAAAAGAATTAAATTAGATTTAACATGAATCAAACTAGACTTAACATGAATCGAATTTGACTTAACATGAATTAAATTGGATTTAACATGAAATTAGACATAACATGATCTAAATTAAACTTAAAAGGAATTTAACATGATTGAAATTGGAATTTAAAGGAATCAAATTAGACTTAACATGAATCAAATTGGACTTAACATGAATCAAATCTTAACATGAAATTAGACTTAAAATAATTTGAATTAGACTTAACATGGTTCATGTTAAGTCTAATTTAACTTATTTTTAGACTTAAAACAAGATGAATTAGACGTAACATGATTTAAATTGAACTTAAAATAAATTAAATTAGACTTAAAATGAATTAAATTAGATTTAACATGAACCAAACTAAACTTAGCACGAACCAAACTGGACTTAGCACGAACCAAACTGGACTTAACACGAACCAAATTGGACTTAACATGAATCAAATTGAATTTAACTAGACATTAGACTTAAAACAAGTTGAATTAGACTTAACATGATTCGTGTTAAGTCTAATTTAACTTATTTTTAGACTTAAATTAAGTTGAATTAGAATCAACATGATTCATGTTAAGTCTAAAAATAAGTTAAATTAGACTTTACATGAACCATGTTAAGTCTAATTTAAATTATTTTAAGTCTAATTTTATATTAAGTCCAATTTGATTCATGTTAAGTCTAATACAACTTGTTTTTAAACTTAAAACAAATTGAATTAGCATGTTTAAATTAGATTTAAAAAGAATTAAATTAGACTTGACATGAAAAAGATAAAAATAAAGACCATGCAACCTTTTAGATTTAACATTCTTCGCCTTCAATGTCGGGAAAAATTAGGGCTTTTTTAGTTTTTGGGGAAAAAGAGAAATCAGGGAAAGTTAGTGGGAGAAAAGGAGAGCGAACAATATGGCCGAAGCGTGCACGCAATGTCGGCGGCGATAGAACGGGATGTCGGCGTCTGAGAGAAAAAAGTAGGAAGAGAGAGAGGAGGAAGTAAATGGGTTAGGAGAGAGGAGGAGAGGGGAGGACGAATGAGGACCAGATATAGATCTGGAGAGAAGGAAGAGAGAGGAGGAAGAGGGTATTTTAGGCTTTTATATTTGTTTCTCTCTCTTCTACTTAGTTAACATGAGAAGTACATAAAAAAAGGCTGAATCATATAGATCTGTAATTTAGGGGCTACAACACATGAGAAAAAGTTGGAGGGAACAGGTCACATGAAGTTATTACTTTTGGAGTCTTGACACAATTTTCCCTATTTTTAATCATCAATTATTTTTCCTAGTTGTTGTTTATTAGTTTTTTCGATGTTTCAATTTCTTTTAATCACAATAAATCTTTCAAATGAGTCTGTCCTAAGATACATAGGACAATGATAGAGATTGTTAATTGTAATTTAAAAAATAATGCCCGTTTGAGCTTTTCTTGTGACTTAGATGGAAGTGCCATAACCGTCCATAACACCTTTAATAAAAGAAGAAGAAGAAGAAGAAGAAGAAAGAGGGGGAAAAGGGCATAATTAATTTTATTGAATTAAGCATTGAAACTTTACATGTGTTGTTGAATTTAAGAATAAAACCTCTATACATACATTCATCCTGTTATTTGCTATTTTCAAACATAAACAAGTCGCAAATAACAAATAAAAGATCATAAGCAACGTTGGGCTTCAAAGCTTTAATATTAATTAATCAACAGGGAGGCATGTTTGCAGGAGGAGGCAGCGTCTTCACGATGAACACGGTGTCCATCCCCCAAGTGCCATGTCGTTCCAAATGACAATGCATGAACCATACACCTAAACAAACATACATGCACAAAGAGGAAGCAAATATTCAAAGCTTTTAATAGTCACAAAATCAATATCAAAGGATTAGTTACTCTTCCTCAATAATAAATCTTTCTGGTATGAGAGATTACTACATGCAAAATTCTAGGTAAAGATCAATTTCAACTCTGAAAATGCCAGATCTGTGAATCATCTCCCAATCGTTACACTCTTGTTAATACGTGTAGATGATCATGATTCATTTGAAATCAGACATTTCACATATTTTGAGCATGCAATTGGTGATCATTTCTATATCTTGCTAAAAATAAATTATAATTGTCTAATAAATTTAAAATAAACATGATTAAAACTAATGATCTCTTCTTCTGATCTCAGGCAGTGCAGAGGAACCAAATAAATTAACTAGAAGTCAGTGAACTAACCTGGATTGTTAGCCTTGAATCTGATAGCAGCCCACCCACTTTTAGGCACACCAACAGTATTTTCCAAAGGCGGATCCTTCAAGTTATAGCTCTTGGGATCCTTCTCCTCATCAAAATTTCCGATGCCCGTGCCCACCACATAAAACCTGTACCCATGCAGATGCATAGGATGGTTCATCCCAACGTCAAGTAAGTTGGTCCCTTGAAACGCCATCTCCACCTCCGTCCTGTACTCCAAAACCCTAACCTCCGTTCCCACCGCTGGAAACAAGTACTCCTGGGGTATATCGTCTCCAGTGAAGTTGAAGTCCACTGGTGGCTTCACCGGAAAATCCTCGCCATAAACACCATCTATCTTCTTGTAATAAGCCTGCACATATTAATTGGGTGGAAGTTGATCGGATAACTATAAAACGGTCCGATTATTCATCAAATAATTTTCTAGTATTGGTATGTGAAACGAAGCAGAGAATAGGCATTCAATAGATACATATAAGTATACGTATATATAGTATATTATAGACTATATATACCTATAATAATATATATAAATATGATTCGATTCATTTGTTTATTAAATATTACTCATCTGAAACTATAATTTGTAATAGTTTACATTATTAAACATGTTACATTATGATCCCTAATATATTTTTTTTATAGATTCTACAGTACTACACTACAACAAAATTTTGTAAATTATGATACATTTTTTGTCTCTACGTGACACATTTTTATGTTACACAAATAGAGCGTGATACATACCAAAAGTGTGGTTAGAGTATGTGTAGAGAGCGTCTTTCTACATTGTTTGGGTCAAAAATCGTTATTTTCATTGTGATTGAATCTATTACAACTTTAATCATTTACAATAAACTCAAATAAAAAGTTGACATTTTTATAAGATCTCTTTATACAATGAAAATACAAAAGATACGATTCTTGTCAAACAGCACAACGGACGTTTATCACCCGCTACTTGCGTGAGAACTTTACCTGTGCCGGAGACGCTAATATCCGTGGATCGTCGCGGATCAGATCCGGTTGACAAATTGATGATCAAAGCTCTTACTTCACGAAGGAAGTAATCGCTGCAGCGATAATCTCGACCAAACGAGATCACGACTCTTCTCGAGATTTAAGACTAAGCTTAAATCCGGAAGAATAGGGGACAGGTCTCGGATCTCTCGAACTCCACTCTTTATGCACAGGAGATCGCAAGATCTGCTAACCCTTGCTGTAAATTCGTGGCTCCACTCTCCAATTCGACAGCGTTTCGCCCTCTTGATCTCCTCCATTCGACAGCACCTCCTCGTCTTGATAATATTCTGCCCCCGTGAAATGAGCCCCTAGGCCTATATTTATAGGCTTCGGTTGAGGGTTTTCAGATAAGAATGAGTGATTTGACCTCATCTTCAGTTAATAATGGTCTAACCATGTTTGTAGATAATATCAAGTCAGTTGGGAAT